AAATACTTTTAACAGAAAAACTTTTCCGTTAAAAGTATTTCCGCAAAATCAAGCCAGTCTAGACGCAGCCATGTTGGTTTCAGTCGTAAGGCACACATTTTTCAGCAAAAGATGGGGACACTCAGATGTTACAGGACTGGGCCTACAGTTCATAGAAATGAATAGGGACACTAATGTTCATGAGAGTTTTACCATTGGCTTTCCTGCAGCCAGGACTTCTCTCTATAAGACTCTGTGGTTGCATGCAGGGAGTGAAAACAGCCAGGGAGAGCGATTAGAGCAGACAGTTGCACTGAATAGGAGCAATACACACCTTTCCATTTCTGTAGCTTTTAGTTTTGGAGCTGTCATATTTTAGTGTTCCCAGTCTGACTTAAGGAGCTCAGTGATAAAAGAGAAATCTCACTCAGGGCACAGAGAAGCATTGTTTGTTGATTTCAGTACCTCATGGCACACATGCTAATGTGTCACTACAAAGATGGACTCATTCTCGGCAGAACTGAAACTATAACCCTGAGGACAATTGGGTATCTGTAAAGTTCTTTATGTCAGTAAACCTAGAGGGGCTCTTCTCAGAATTTCTGCTTGATTCTGTAGGCTGACCTTTTGATGATGGTGATCAATTATGTATATATGTTAATTATACAAATGTGTATGTTTATTTGATGTTGAATGGTATTTCTAGTCTGTTTGTGAAAAACAACATGGAGTCTGTATACCAGGTGACCTCAGGACAGGGAGGGGCCCTCCACCTCAGAGTGGTAAACAAGAACTGGCACAGACCGGAATTTCCCACCTTTTCTTGGTTACCTCAGAACTGGTCCCCACTGAGGGATCACGTGGTAAAAATCACCTCAGGGGTTTCCCGCCCTGAAGGTTTTATAAGTCCAGACGCAGCCCATGGGGGATGCTGTGCATCTGAGTGGCAGTGTTTGCGCAGGTTGTCAGCTCTCTCCTGAGACCACCAAGGGATCTGATCCAGCTGCAAGCCAGTCAGAGGAATAGAAGAGGCACCTGTCCACTGTCTTCCATCTACACAGGTGTCATGCCTGCCATCCTCTTCAGGGTTCCTGTACCACCAGCAAGGGACTCCCCAGCATTCCTCCCTGAGGGCTCTTAGAAGGGGAAAGTAACCATTTGTATTTGGGGTAGAACCTACCAATTATTTTCACACAGTCCAGTTGGGACATTAAGGGTTTTACTGTTCACTTCCACTGTTTTGTTAAAGGTTACTTCTTTGCATCAGGTTTCTCCCCTGCTTTTCCCTTAATATTGTATAAAACCCCCAATACAATTTCTTTTTGCTTTCACCTTTACTTGGAGTCTGTTTTCCTTTATCGGCCTAATTCACAGGTGATAGACCCTGAGGGAGGGGGTGGATCTGTTTTCTTTTGACTGGCGTTGCACTATCAGGCCATATTTGAGTGTTATCCAGGCCCCAGGGGTAACAGTCACAACCACCACCAGTCTGGCTATGGCCTGCCCCTTGACTAGGCTCAACTTCTTCCCCTCACTCTCTGGGAAAGGCTGTGCTGGTGCTGCTAGTACAGTGGTGGGCAACCTGCTAGCCTACTGGGGTTCCACCTGCGGCCCCTGTCTGCCCCACTCCCCCAAGTGCTTCTCATGCACTTGGACACTGGACCCTGCACTTCTTACTCCTTCCCCCCTCCCTCCCAGCACTTTTGGAGTGCCATGAATACGCTGAATCAGATGTTTGCAGCATTCAAGCTCTAGGAGGCAGGAGGAGGAGCAAGGACAAAGTGCAAAACAGAAGATTCATGGTGCTCTGAAAGTGCGGGCAGGGAGGGGGAGAAGCTGGAAGTGTGGGGCTCTAGTGCCCCAATACCCAAGAGGTATGGGGGGGGGGGAAGGAAGCAGAGAGAGGCTGTGTGGGCTGCAGGCTGTCCACCATGTAGCCCACTCACTATTCTTGGTTGTCCATCAGCATATCCATACACTGACTTTGGATAGCAGCCAGCTCAAAACAAGTTGGGCTTTCTTTGGAAAGTATAGGGAGGCAGAGAGCAAATAACTGCTGGAAGGGAGGGAGCAGCTGGAGCCATTGCTGTTTGTACAGGAAGGTAGAGGAGCAGGGTGACCTCTTGAAGCATTGAGGAGGCAGATAGAGGAATGAAGGGCCCAGCTACAGGAGCTTGAAAACAGAGGATAGCAGTAGCCAAGCCATCAAAAAGGTTAAATGCAGAACAGTGGGTTTAATTTTAGCTGGAGAAAGAATAGACTGGACTGGAGAGAACACTGATTTATTAACATGACTGTAGAACATAGAAGCCCCAGTCTTGGGCCACACTGGACTAGGTGCTGTACAAACACATAGCACAAAAACAACTGCCCCCTAAGAGCTTACAATTTAACTACAGTACAAGACAAAGAGAGAATGCACAGAAACAGACAAAGCAGCACAAGAAAACAGACACACAATATTGGCCAGCATGCTAGGCTGTGGTCTCAGGATCCCAGCAGCATAACTACTGTCCATTTTTTTGCAAGCGTCATAGTAAAGGAGAGTTTGAAAGAGTCTCATGAAGTAGTTTTGTGGCTATTTACAGAGCACCCCTCCCATGTATGAAAGGAAACACATGACAGTGCCTGTTTGAAAAGTTAACAAGTGGACAACTGAGACTGGCATGATGGGCCAATCAGACTTAAGCACCAACAGCTTGACAGCAAAGGAGAGATAATCAGTAATGTGGGGATAGACAGTGAAGGCTTTGAAAGTGAAGACAAGCAGCTTATTATATTTGATGCTATCTCTGCATCTATATAAAACTGAATGCAATAGAGGAGGAGCCAGTGGAGGGATCCAAAAAGAAAAGTGACAGGGTCAAAGCAATAGACTAGGAAAAGAATATCTAAAGCAGCATTCTGAATAGATATGAGGGGCAGGACTGGTTTGTTCAAGGCCAGAGAGAAGAATGTTTTCGTCTGGATAAGAGTTGTATTTGTGTGGATGGGTAGAAAAGGCTGTACCTGAGAGAGGTTATACAAAAGGCATTTTAAAATTTCAAATACTCCAAACACCAATTCCCAACTGAATTTTAGACAATAAGTCACCCTTTGGATCAAGCTGGTTACACAGTCATATTTCTGTTTCCTGATTAGATGACCCATGTAACTAGCCAATACAGCATAATAAGACTATTAATTATATATATATAAGGAAATTGTACTGCAGAGTTATGTAACCAAACACAGCATCAATTGCAAAACTGCAAATATTCTCAATGCGCAAACACAAGTAGGCCAAGTAACTGAAGGAAGTAGCTAGGTATATGTTCAGTGAAATTATTTTGAGAAATGTTCAGTCTGTGTGCAAAAACTTTACAAAGAGGAAAGACAGGGTGGATGTCATTGTGTATATTTATTCACTGACATTTGTCTGCACACAACTCTTGCGGAGTGACTTTTTCCAGTAAAGGAAGCACTCATTCATGTAATGTACCACTGTTCTAAATAAATGTTGGTGTGGAATAGAAATTTGAAGACAAAGATCCAGCAGCAGAGAAAAGAGGGGACAGAATGTTGGATTGAAAAATACAAAGAGTATCAGAAAAAGGTGCCCAGAGAGGCAAAGTGAGTAGGCCTAGAAAGATTCTACACCAAATAGCAGTAAGTGTGGAGCCCTATGAAATGAAGGGAACACTTTATATTAAACATGAGAGTACAGGGTATCTCTATGGTCTGCTTGTGGTCCTGGAAGCCTGACTTTCTACCAGGTAATAGAGACCAGCCATACCTCCTAATCTGTCTAGGGCGCTCTCATAGAATTATAGAACTGGAAGGGACCTCAAGAGGTCAAGTCCAGTTCCCTGCCCCCACAGCAGGACCAACCACTGTCTAGAATCTAGATCATCCCTGACAGGTGTCTGTCTGACCTGCTCTTAAATATTTCCAGTGATGGAGATTCCACAATGCCCCTAGGCAATTTATTCCAGTGTTTACCCACCCTGAAAGTTAGGAAGTTTTTCAACCTAAACCTCCCTCGTTGCAATTTAAGCTCATTGCTTCTTGTCCTATCCTCAGAGGCCAAGGAGAACAATTTTTCCTCCCTCCTTCTTGTAGCACCCTTTTAGATTTAAAAACTGCTATCATGTACTCCCTCGTTCTTCTCTTTTTTACACTAAACAAACCCAATTCTTTCAGTCTTCCCTCATAGTTCATGTTTTCTAGACCTTTGATAATTTTTGTCTTTCTTCTCTGGACCTTCTCCAGTTTCTCCACATCTTTCCTGACATGTGGCACCCAGAACTGGACACAATACTCCAACTGACGCCTAATCAGTGCAGAGTAGAGCAGAATAATGACTTCTTGTGTCTTGCTTACAGCATTCCTGTTAATCCCAGAATCATGTTTGCTTCCCCCTGCCTACTAACAGTGTCACACTGTTGACTCATGTTTAACTTGTGGTCCACTATTATCCCTAAATCTCTTTCAGCAGTACACCTTCCTAGACAATCACTTCCCACTTTATGTGTATGAAAATTACTTGTTCCTTCCTAGATGGAGTACTTTGCATTTGTCCTTATTCAAATTCATCCTGTTTATCTCAGACTATTTCTCTAGCTTGTCCAGACCATCTCCTTTCATTCCCTTTTCATTTCTCCCCATTATTAGAGAAAACAACAAATGGTCTGGTAGCACTTTATAGACTAACAAAACATGTAGATGGTATCATGAGCTTTCGTGGGCACAGCCCACTTCTTCAGATGACCGGTCAGCTGAAGAAGGGGGCTGTGCCCACGAAAGCTCATGATATCATCTACAAATTTTGTTAGTCTATAAAGTGCTACCAGACCATTTGTTGTTTTTTCTGTACAGACTAACTCGGCTACCCCCTGAAGCTTCATTATTGGAGAGTTAGCTTTTCTGTGTAACTTTTACCAATGAGTTTCAGCTACTAAGTGAAAGCCAGACCCCACAAAAGATCCTTCCTTCCAAACTCTCAGCTGAATTTAAACAAACAAACAAACAGCATCTGCATGAGTAGTTTGTCATTGTACCACTTTTATTTACAACTGCTTAGTAGATACACAGCAATGACAGTAGAATGTCGCTGAACCTGCTAGGCAAAGTCCAAAACTCCACAGACAGAGCAGTTAGGGCAGCACCACAACTGGAATCAATGCAATGGCAACAATAAGAGACCACACCTAACAGCTCTCTCCTGAGTCACCCAGGAGGGCTGGAGGATCCATATCCCTGGTCTGGGGACAACATGGATTATCTGAGTTGTAGGAGAAGTGGTAGAGATCCTGCTTCACTGCCATGAGCAGGCCAGGGACTCCTCGGCTGCCTCCGAGTCTTGAAGAGAACACCACACTGGGGATGGAGTCCCTGGAGGATGGGTATGGAGAAGGGATAGTTCTGAGTAGATGGGCATCTTGAAGACTCCATATTCTTGTGTAGCAATCTTGACCAACTGTGGAGAGAAAAGCACTGCAAATCAGGACAAGGAAATGCTTCCTGTAAATGATCATAACCGGCTTTGAAAAATTCTGACCTATAGGATAAAGAACTGTTGCCATCTCCACCTGATCTCTAAAAGAATCTAAAAAACGTGATTCAAATATATTACTCTACATAGGGTGAGATGGATAAAAATAACTGTAGGCAATATTGCAAAAATCAGGCAACACAGAGCTTTGTACGTAACTATACAAAACAGTATCCCCATCATTAGGTTCTGTATTATCAATCAATGAAGAAAAGCTCTTACCATAATTGTGCTGCATATGGAGACTTCAAGAAAAAAAAACCATATAAATTCAGGAATAGTTTGTTGTTTCTGTAACCCCCTGTAAAGGGGTTCCCCTCACTGCAGCAGTACCTCCCAGAGGCCAGGCAGGATGTATCAGCTTTTGTTTGGCACCCTGAGCTAACACCACTTTGGCGACAGAGGGCCTATCTCTTCCTGTAACTTAGTTCTCTGGCCACATCACAATATTTATGTCTGTCCCTTTTAGGGTGACAGAATACAACCAAACTGTAGTCCAATCACCTTATCGTAGTCTTCCATCTGTCTCCGGGCTCCGTTATTCTTGCTCCCCATACTATGGTTGGTTTCACCCTACCTTTCTTGTTGTCTGGCAGGGGAACCAGGCCCTCCCTCTCCTCTGGGCTCAAACCCATGGACCCCGTAAGCTGGCAGCCAAGTCTACTCCCTGAAACTCTTTGCTGCCTTCCTATATTGCTTCCTATCTCTTCTATCCCACAAAGAGCGACTGCTGGCTCTCTTCCTGCACCCCTTTTCTGCTACTAACGGTCCTGGCATTATAATCACAACCCAGCCCTTCTTCAGTGGGGCTTCATTATCAATTAAGCCTGGCTCTCTCTCTTGCAGGTGGCTGACAAGTATCTTAACTGAATTTGCAGGCCCTCATTAATCGCTATAGAACCTGTTTGGGGTATACATCCCATCACATTCCCCTTCATCCTACTGTCTTCTGTGGGTATCAAAGAAAAGACCCAATATACTCCTGTTCTTTAATACAACTTTCCAGGACCTCTATCCTTTTACGTAACATAGTTACCCTTTTTATGGGCCCAGGAAGAGGTTTAGCACTGTTTTCCTACACTTCTAAATCAGAAGCTTGCCACTCACTCTCTCCCATTCTGTCTTCCAATGTTTGTCCTAACTTCTGCACTGAGAAATCCTACTGGCTGGAGTGTATATCTTTTGAAACTCAGAGGGCCATCCCTCAATTAACATGCACCCAAATAATTTTTGTTTTGAGTTGCACACCTGTGGTTTATTATGCTGTTCCCAAAGCCAGAAAGGAATGAATGCCAGCATAATTTCCAATAGCCTATCCACAAATACCTCACATACCTAATTGAAGAGAACCAAAACATACACGCACTACGGAAAAGCAGACACACCTGCTGTAACAAGCCCTTCCTCCTCATTTACGTGCAGAGGGAGAGTAGCATATTCATTATGATGGCCTTCGTACTGTTTCACACACTTCATTGCTCTAAGGTCCCATAGCTTTATCTGCAAGTTGAAATGGTAATAGAAGAAAGAACATTTTAGTGAAGCAGAGAAATTTTTGACAGTTGTTGTAGTGATAGGGAGAGAAAGGAGTAGGAGCCTAAAGTTTTACAAACTCCCAAGTGAATTCTTTACGTTTTGAAATTACCACATAGACACAAGGGGACACCATTATTTGGAGCACTGGTTTAGGATACTGGCTGTGAAAAAACACTTATAGAAAGTCTCGTTCCATTTGTTTTAATGCAGGCAACTTGTCTAGTGGATTAAGCAAAGGACTGAGTTTTAGTTTTGCTCTGCCACAAACTAGTTGGGTGGCCTTGGGCAAGTCACTCATTCACCCCACCACCCTGTCTCTGTTTCCCCATCTGTACAAAAGAGATCACACTGCTTATTTACTTAACTCATGAGGCTGTGGTGAGCAGTAATTGATTAGGCCATGCCTACACTAGGATCACTACAACAACAAATCTATACCACACCTATCTATGCTGCTGTAACCATGAAGCATAGATGAAGACTACAACAATGGAAGGGAGTTTTCCACTGCTGTAAAAACTCCATCTCTAGAGCATGAGTAGCTTTGTTGATGGAAGAATTCTTCTGTCAAGCAAGCTGTGTCTATACTAGGGATGTTAAATTGTGTTTAATCAACTAATTGACTGATAAAGGCAGCGGGGTTTGGGGAGATGGGAAGCAACTAGTCAAGTCACTACTCGACTATCCGATAAGCTTATGCTTATTGGATAGTTGACTGGTTGCTTACACCCGTAGTCTATACCAGGGATTATGGTGTTTGGAGTGTGACTTTTTCACACTTCTGAGTACCGTACCTATGTTGACCTGAATTAGAAGAGCTAAGCATTATTATTCCTTCGCTAGGGAACAATCCAAGTTCTAGCTAGTGGAATACAACTTTTGTGGCGCCAAAAGCTGCACTGGCAACTTGCTAGAAGCCAAAGGAAAAAAAGGAACTTCTATATTGTTCTGCCTTTCTCCCCCCTTACCAGCCTTCTCTGCCTGTCTTGTTTTACCTCTTCCATAAACTCCACATCCTCCTTTCCTTTTATTCTCTATATGCCCCTGTTCTCCTGTAATTCATTATCAAAATATCCTTCTCACTGGATTTCTGGTGGAGTTGCTCAGAGGGAGTTGCCTCAGGCTTGTTGCACTGACTCATTGCCTAGCAAGCAGGGTCAGGAAATCCCAGTATAATTCCAAGTTCTTGTGGGAATGTGACGGGGCTTTCCAGTGACTCCACTTGGACACAGCAGTTGGAGAAGATAAAAGGGCATGTCTACAGTAGGGTGCTTAGATCTGCACAGCTGTACTGATACAGCTGAGCCGCTATAAGATTGCTCCTGTGGTTGCTCTGTGTCAATGGGGGAGAGCTCTCCAGTTGACATAATTAAACCAGCCCCAATGAGCACAGCTCATGAGCTGGCAGGAGAGCGTCTCCTGTTGACACAGCACAGTCCACACTGGTGCTTCTGCTAGTATAATTTACATTGTTCAGAGGGGCGTGTTTTTCACTCTCCAGAGCAACGCGAGTTATATCAACAAAAGTGCTGGTGTAGACATAACTAAACCTCAAGCATCTCAAAACCAGGAGTAAAGAGCAGAGAATACAGACATCTGCAAAGCATTTGTAACTAAGACAACGGCATCCACTTTCAGACCTGGAGTGGGACCTTGGCAATGACCAATATAACACGAGACAGTATCTAGCTTTCCATAAATAGAAGCTACCTTTCCAGACATGTCTGCTGCCATAAGATAGTACTCTGCTTGGAGAAGGTGAACAGAAGTGACCGCTGAGTCATGGAAGAGACGAACAGCTTTCCAGCTGTGGCCCCTCCGGCTGCGCTGACGAATATCAATGCTGAAAACTTCCCCTGAACGGCAGCCATTGTATAGCACTGGAGTCTAGATGAACCAAAACATGCAGGGAAATGAGTTTGGTAACATTTAACAGGGTCATGCAGGTCAGTTTTTGTGACTACTTTTGAGGGAAAGGTTCAAGTAAAAAGTCACCCTTTCATTGTAGTGCCAGAACAATACAATTGTACATGGAGTTTTGCAAAGACCAGAATTGCAGAGTCATGTTGCAAAACATTGCAGCCAACTCAGGTCTTTCATTCTGCTTTCCAGTGTTTAGCAATAAAAAAGCAATGGAAACTTGATCTTGTGGTTAGATCAGGGGGAATGGGAGTTGAAAGTCCTAGATCTTAGTTCCACTTTTGCCATTAACTTTGACTCTGAGCAAGTAATTTAATCTTTCTGTGCCTTACTTTCCTCATCTGTAAAATGGGAACAATACTAAGATGTAGCATCTTAAAGCACCTCACATATACTCAGATAACAGGCACGATGAATACAAAGCCTTATTATAATTCCCTGCATTAGTTTCAATTTCTTTTTAATCTTTTTCTATTTAGTAAAATTGATTCCCACCTGATCCATCCCACATTTCCAATGGAGTTTGAAATCAGCATAGCTTAGTTTTGTTGCTTTTCCATTTTCAGTCACATTGTCAACACTGTCCACTTTATCACTGAACAGCTACTGAAGCCACTACCAAAGTAGCCACAGTATGTATAAGATGGCGGGTCCCTCAAAAAATCAGCAATGCGTACGTCTCTCTAAGAAATCAAACCCATCTCTCTTTCTCTACCTGGGTGGCAAACTGTTGGGCCAGTACATCGCTGCTTGTACCAAATGTTTGTCGGTGACCAGTCATTGCATTGGTCACAAGGACTCGCCGTATCAGACCTGAGAAAGATGAAAAATACATGACCATCATTTGAGCAGTACAGTTTGGAAGCCATGATGATCTTCCCTCTGATAAGTAGCACAAACACACTCCTGCTTACCTGTGCTGAAACAGTTATCAGCTTGGGGGTTCAGGCACCAAGCACAGGACCAGGCAGTGGAGATCTTGAAGCTGCACAGCATTCCAGGCTGATCTCCTAAGGCAACAGGGACAAACTGTGAAGCCCCCATGCACCACAAGGAGATGTGAGAGGAAGCTTCAAGTGAACCGGGCCTCTAGAAAATTTCACCAGGCCTCTGTGCCTCTTACAACATTCAGGGTTTCTGCTTCAAGTGCACTAAGCCACCTTATTGTAGTCCTGCTATTACCCACACTGTACTTCCGGAAACAGAAGATTGCTCTGCCTGATGCTGGAGTGATTTCCAAACAATACTGCCATGAGAACAACTCTGTAGTTGCAGCATGACTACAGAGGAAGGGAGGGAAGAGTGAAAGATATAGCTACACAATGCACCCACATTCTCAAGATTTATAAAAACTGGGTATACACAGTGTTTTTAGTACAACTTTATGGGAACAAGGACACCACTTCACCTCAATCAAACAGCCAAAGGCTATCTACCTATGCCTCTCCTTGCCCCTCAACTGAGAATTTATAAGGCACTGAAATTATGTTCATAGGGAGGTAGGGAAAAGGTCTTGTTTGGACTCACACAGCTTTGGACATACTACACTGCCCTCCTGTCTGCTGAATGACTATAGTTTAAGTATATAGCAACACATGAGATTTGTATTGTTTCCTCAGTTCCCAACCCAATTCAAAACCAAGCCACTGACAGTACCTAAGTACAGGCAGTCCCCGACTTACGCGGATCTGACTTATGTCGGATCCGCACTTACGAACAGGGCTTTTCTCGCCCTGGAGCTCACGGGCGGCGGGTCGCCACCCGTGTCCTCCGGGGCGAGAAAAGCTTCTCCCGGTCTCCCTGGTCTGCTGGGGGGGTCCAGCAAAGCCGCTGGACCCCCCCAGCACATCAGGGACACCCGAGCAAAGCCGCCCAGGCGGCGGGAGTCCCGCTGCCTGGGCGGTTTTGCTCGTTTGCCCCGGAGCAAAGCCGCCCAGGCGGCGGGACTCCCACCACCTGGGAGGCTTTGCTCCTGTCCCCCTGGTCTGCTGCGGCTTTGCTCTGGTGTCCCTGGTCTGCTGGGGGGGGGGAGGGTCCAGCGGCTTTGCTGGAGCCCCCGGCAGACCAGGGGGACAGGAGCAAAGCCGTGGAGCAC